ATCTGAAGCAGGCTCCAGGCTCTGAGCTGTCAGCACCGAGCCCGACACGGGGATTGAACTCACAGACTGTGAGATCATGACCTGAGCCGAAGTGAGATGCCTAACCGACCGAGCCACCCAGGCACCCCTGTTTATTTATTTTTAACAGAAAGAGACAGAGTTCAAGTGGGGGAGGGACAGGGAGAGAGGGAGACACAGAATCCAAAGCAGGGATCAGGCTCTGAGCTGTCAGCACAGAGCCAGATGCGGGGCTTAAGCTTATGGACTGTGAGATCATGACCTGAGCCAACATCAGACCTTTAACCGACTGAGCTACCCAGGGGCCCTGCAGCAAACCCATTCTTACTACTTATTGGAGAGATCTGAAAACACATTCGCAGGTAAACACATACATGGGTGTTTTTGAATGTTTTATTCATTTTTGAGAAAGAGAGCGTGAGCGGGAGATGGATAGAGAGGGGCAGAGGATCCGAAGTGGGCTCTGTGCTGACAGGCTGACAGCAGTGAACCTGACGTGGGGCCCAAACTCACGAACTGTGAGATCATGACTTGAGCCGAAGTTGGACGCTCAACTGATTGTCACCCAGGCGCCCCTCTACATGGATTTTCATTGCGGCTTTATTCATAATCATCAAAACCGAAATGGAACTCAAATGTCTACACTGTGGATGGGTAAACAAATGAGCACCAATCCGTGACTTGGAATACTACTGACTCACAGACACGACTGGAAACGATCTTCGATGCGTTTTGCTAAGCGAAAGAAGCCTGATTCACAAGGCTCCACGCTGTATGGTTTTGTTTCTTTGACATTCTGGAAAAGACAACCCCGCAGGAACAGAGGGAGAGAAAACAGAGCAGTGGCTTCTGGGAGCTGGAAGTTGGGAACCGGTTGGCTAGAAAGGGCAAGAGGCAACTTTCAAGGAGTGACAGAGCGATTCGGTGTTTTGATTTGTACTGGCAGTCACGTGGCTGTACGCGCTGGCCGGAACTCACAAAAATACACTATGAAGGGTGATTTTGATTGTAGGTCAAGTCAACCTCAATAAACATGACTGAACAAAAGAGACGGCTCTCCAAACATTCATTCATTACAAACGGAAAAAATAGTAACAGTGGAGAAACCCAGCAGATATTACTGTACCCAACTGATCTAAGTTAATAAACACCTGCAGTTAGACATATCATGTTTCTACAATATACGATGGGAAGGGAATTTCACTTCTGTGGTATACCCCCCTCCCCCAAGAAAAACCCTCTATAGTCATTCTCTAGTCAAGATCAAACACCAGATAAACAAATTGAGGGACAATCTACAGTATAAATGACCAGTATTCTTAAAAAGTGTTGAGTTCATGGTTCATGGGGTGCCTGGGTGGTTCAGTCGGCGGCTGGACTCAAAAGTTGAGTTGGCTCCAACTCAAAAAAGTTGAGGGGCTCCAACTCAAAAATGAACACATGAACCATGAGATCGTGACGTGAGCCGAAAATCAAAGAGTTGGATGCTTAACCGGCTGAGCCACCCAGCGGCCCCCCTTCCTCCCTCTTTAAAGATGGCACTGTCACATCTTCTCTCTGACCTTTACTCCCATCCTCACATCTTCTATGAATCTGACCTTCCCACCCTCCTCTTATAGAAACCATTAGGATTACATTGGGCCCACCCAGATCATCCAGGGAATCTCCCCAACTCAAGAGCCTTGAATTAATCACATCCACAAAGTCTCACTTTTGCCATATGATGTCACAGATTCAAAGGTCCCCAGGATTAGGAGGTGGACATCTTTAGGGCTTCTGCTAGCTTCTGTGTTTTCAGTGGGATGAGGAGTGAGGTGATCAGCTTCCTGTGGGTGAGGAGCTCCAGGGTGCTGTGGGGGATTGAAGAAGAAAGATGGGTTAACAGGCATCTTGGGGAGGCAGAGGGTACCCTAATGAGGGAAATGTACCAGGGTCACAGGCAGGGCTTGGGATGTAGGGCCCAGCCCCTCCCCATCAAGGCTCCCCAGGGAGGCACAGAGTAGATGAGAGAAGGATTTACCAGAAGGACTTGGATTCGGCTACAAGTGTGCCCTGGAGGGGGTCATAAGCCAAGGGAGTTTAAGACATGGGAAAGTGAGGGATTTTAGGGGTGGCCCGTGGAACAGTGGAAGCAGGAAAAGAAGGAAGAGAGGACAAGGTGGGGGAGCCAGAGGCAATGAAAAGACAACAGGGTCGGGGCGTCTGGGGGGCTTAGTTGGTTAAGCATCTGACTTCGGCTCAGGTCGTGATCTCATGGTTCATGGGTTCGAGCCCTGCGTCGGGCTCTGTGCTGACAGCTCAGAGCCTGGAGCCTGCTTCAGATTCTTTCTGAGTCTCCCTCTCTCTCTGCCCCTCCCCCACTCACACTCTGTTTCTCTTGGTCTTTCAAAAACGAATAAACATTTAAAAATTTTAAAAGAAAAGAGAACAGGGTCAATGCACTCTATGTGCTGGCAGGTTCGAAAGTCTTTCAATTCAGTTGATGGGGAAAAGGAGAGCACGGGATGATAAACAAACAGTTTGGAGGGTATGTCATTACTGGTAAGGACAAGAACAAGGGTATGACCATGAAAGCGGGTGGCCCGTGTAGGGGGTGACGAATGAAAAAAGTATCTGTGAGGGTTACCAAAAATGTTCTCAGGTGGATTGGGGTGGATGCACTACTCCTAGGAATACACAAAAAACCCGGTGTCATACAGGTTAAATGGTTGGATTTTACGATATGTGAATTGTGGCTTCATAAAACTTCCAAAAAAAAAAATAATAAAAAGATCATAGATGGCTGCGGTAGGCGAGAGAGCGAGCTGGGTGGACGTGATGGGCTCAGTGTACCAAGAGGCCATGTTTCCATGATCTGTTGCCACGGTGTTTCTAATAAACCACCCAAAGACTGTGTGGTCGAAAACAACAAGGATCATTTACGACAGTCCTGGGTCTGCAGTCCCGACAGGGCTTGGAGGTGGGCAGTGTGGCCTGAGGGAGGTCTTAGCTCTGCTCCCTGAGCGTCAGCGGGACAGGAGAACGTGGTCCTTCAGGTGGCTCAGTCACAAGCCTGATTTACGATCAGCTGTGAGTTTAGTCTCAGCCGGGGGCCAGGAACCTAGCGGCCTCTCCACATGGACCTCACCATCTGGCCTGGCCTGCGCAGGTGTCCCAAGGAAAAGAGTGGGGCCGAAAGTGGCCTTTTTTTTTTTTTTATGTTTATTTATTTTTGAGAGAGAGAGAGAGCACAAGTTGGGGAGGAGCAGAGAGAGAGGGAGACACAGAATCCGAAGCAGGCTCTAGGCTCTGAGAAGTCAGCACAGAGCCAGACACAGGGGTCGAACTCAGAACCACGAGATCATGACCTAAGCTGAAGAGGGACGCTTAACTGACTGAGCCACCCAGGCGCCCCTATGACAGTAGTTTTAGAAGGGGGAATAGGAAGCCAGGTTCTCAAATCTTCCATGAAAGAGGAGGAGTGGCCAGAAGGGAAGGGATGAGTTCAGTAAGGAAGGATGGGAAAGTGTCCGTGGGTAGCTTAAGCTTCAAAAGAGCTGGGGGAGGGGGTGCCTGGCTGGCTGGGTGGAGCATGAGACTCTTGATCTTGGGGTTGTGAGTTCGAACCCCATGGTGGTGGGTATAGAGCTTACTTTAAAAAGATTTAAAAGTCAGTGGGAGGAAGAACGGTGTAGAAACGGCAAAAAGGAGCACCTGGGAAAGGAGGGTGTAAAGTATGAGGGTGTAAGGCAGGGCTGCAGGGAGAAGGGTTCAGTTCACAGAGTTCAGACACCACAAAGACGAGTCTCCTTGTGGGTCTCTGAGAATGACAGAAACACAGACACACAGAGAGGTAAGACAGAGACCCAGAAAGAGGGACACAAAATCCAGAAGGAGGGTGACATTGCTTCCCAGAAACTGTACACAGGAGGGGGCCGGCATTCGGAGGGAGTCGCCACCTTAGTGCTTCTCTGCACTTGGCCGGTAGAGGGCGCGCGGGACCCCATTCCCTGGAGTCCGGGTAACCTATCCCCACTTCTCCCCAAACCTATCAGCCGCGGCTATTTTTACGCGATGTCATAGGATACCGGTGGCTGGAAGGCCACCGTCTGTCTGTCCTTTGGTCCCTTCCAGTGACCCTGCGGCATCTCCCCAGCCCACCCCGCCACCTGTCCCTGGCAGGCTCGACCTCCGTTTGCACTATCCAGGGTGACAGCTCCGCCTTCACTGTGTCTCAATGTCTGCCTGACCGAGAATACAGGTGGAGACCTTGGCGACGGAAAGGGGTGTGGGGCGCACACGCTCACGGCTTGCAGCTGCTGGAGCGTCTCCGGGACGGGGCAACCACCAGGCCAGTGGCAGAGCCGATCTACAGTTAAGGTCATAAAGAGATTCAGAGATAGGACTCCAGAGACCCGGAGTTCTCCAGAGGCCCTGAGACAGACACTCGCAATAACTCAGAAATACAAGGAAAGAGACCCAAAGTGGGGGGCTCCCCCACGGAAACCCCGCGACAGAGACAGAGGGCTAAGAGATCATGAGAAGAAACCCCGACAGAGGCGAGAGACAGAGGTAAACAGAGGCACACCCCTAAGATACAAGAATCAAAGACGGAGATCCAGAGAGACCAAGACACAGACAACTGCCACAGACCCCCAAGCACTGAATCCTCTAGAAGTGCGAAGCTCACTGGGATAGATACCCAGAGATACACCCCTTACCAGACACCCAAAGTGAAGACATAGCCAGACGCAGAGACGTAGAAGAGAACAGAAAGACGTGTTAGTAGTTTGTGACTGCAACACAGGGCCTGGGACATTCATAAAAAGAGACGAAAGGCACCCCCGGCAACCCGGAGAGACGAGGAATAGAGATCCCAGGCGAGAGCGAGACACAGGGAAAGCGCAGCGCGGCCGCGGCTGGGGGGAAAGGGCGGGCGCCCCGGCAGAGGGCGCGCGGTCGCCCTCTGCCCCGCCAGGGTCAGGCGCCCCCTCCCCCGCGCCCTGGCCGCACGGCCGGGCTATTTTTACGCGTGGACACCGGACACCAGGCTGGGGCGGCGGCGGCGGCGGCCGAGGCGGGGCCGGGCCGGGCCGGGTCGGGCGTCGGGGCCACACGTCCGTCCGCGGGTCGCCGGGGCTGCGCGCGCCATGGAGCCGCGGTGCCCGCCGCCGTGCGGCTGCTGCGAGCGGCTGGTGCTCAACGTGGCCGGGCTGCGCTTCGAGACGCGGGCGCGCACGCTGGGCCGCTTCCCGGACACGCTGCTAGGGGACCCGGCGCGCCGCAGCCGCTTCTACGACGGCGCGCGCCGCGAGTACTTCTTTGACCGGCATCGGCCCAGCTTCGACGCCGTGCTCTACTATTACCAGTCCGGCGGGCGGCTGCGGAGGCCGGCGCACGTGCCGCTCGACGTCTTCCTGGAGGAGGTGGCCTTTTACGGGCTGGGCGCGGCGGCGCTGGCGCGCCTGCGCGAGGACGAGGGCTGCCCCTTGCCGCCCGAGCGCCCCCTGCCCCGCCGCGCCTTCGCGCGCCAGCTCTGGCTGCTCTTCGAGTTCCCCGAGAGTTCGCAGGCCGCGCGCGTGCTCGCCGTCGTCTCCGTGCTCGTCATCCTCGTCTCCATCGTCGTCTTCTGCCTCGAGACGCTGCCCGACTTCCGCAACGACCGCGACAACCCGGGGCTCGCTGCGGTGGCGGCTGCTGGCCCGGTGAGGGGGCGGGTCCTGGGTGGAGAGAGGCGGGGCTTGGGAGGAGCTGAGCGGGGTCCACGGGGATCTGGCCAATTACAAGGCGCGGGTGAGGGGCACTGGGAGGCGGGGCCCCTCAGGAAGGTGGGGCCTGGCTACGGGCGGGCGGGGCATTGGGGGGGCTTGTTGGGGGACCGGCCGATCACAGGTGGGCGAGAGGCTAGAGAGGTGGGCAACCCAGGGTCTGGGCCTGACCTGGGGAATTTACCTTTAAAAGCTGGGCTGGGGGGCGGGGAAGGGATAGCTTTGTGGAGGCGGGGCCTGAGGATCTGCAAGGGAGGCCCTTCCTGTCACGGGACGGGGTTGAGGCAGGTGAGAAACCGGCTTGCCGAGGGCGGGAAGACAGGTACGTTAAGAAATGAAGCTGAGGGAGCAGAGACTGAAAAATCAGGGGTCCGTGCGGCTGGCAGGAACCAAGGGAAGGATGGGCTGGAGGGCGCTGGAGACAGAAGAGTGAGGCCCGATGGCTGAGGTAGGAGGAATCCATCACAAATAAAGTCAGGCTGAGGGCCGTGACAGCAGGGACCCCAGGGTTTGGAGTTCAAAGGTCTTTAACCATTAAAGTCTAGACTGGGGGTAAGAAAGAGCACAAGGGAGCGGGACCAGGCTGGCGACACTCCCCATCTGGAAAATCAGTGTGGCGGTGAGACTTTGGGAAGGAAGAGACCCAGTCGCACTGGGGCGCCATTCCAGGAGCCCCCCACCCCACCCCCCAGTGAAGGATCAGGGACCATACAGGCTGCCACGCAGGGATGATCCATAGGGTTCTGGAAAGGAGTCTAGGGCAGCTGGGTCACTGGAGGCCTGGGGACAGTGACCACTGACCAGTTTGTACAGAAGCAGTTGGACATTTCAACCAAAATGAGGCCGTTCCAGTGTGTCCCGGTCTCGGTGCGGTCCTCTCTGACGCCCTTCCTCCCTGCAGTTCCCCGCTCGGCTGAATGGCTCCAGCCCAGTGCCTGGCACCCTGTCTCGCATGCCCTTCGATGACCCGTTCTTTATGGTGGAGACGCTGTGCATCTGTTGGTTCTCCTTTGAGCTCCTGGTGCGCCTGGCGACCTGCCCAAGCAAGGCGGCCTTTTTCAAGAACGTCATGAACCTCATCGATTTTGTGGCCATCCTACCCTACTTTGTGGCGCTAGGCACCGAGCTTGCCAGGCAGCGCGGCGTGGCCCAGCCAGCCATGTCACTGGCCATACTACGAGTCATCCGACTGGTGCGCGTCTTCCGAATCTTCAAGCTGTCCCGGCACTCAAAGGGCCTTCAGATCTTGGGCCAGACACTGCGGGCCTCCATGCGTGAGCTTGGTCTCCTCATCTTCTTCCTCTTCATCGGCGTGGTTCTCTTCTCCAGCGCCGTCTACTTTGCAGAGGCCGACCGGGAAGATTCCCATTTCACCAGCATCCCCGAGTCGTTTTGGTGGGCGGTGGTCACCATGACCACAGTTGGCTATGGAGACATGGCACCCGTCACTGTGGGCGGCAAGATAGTGGGCTCTCTGTGCGCCATCGCCGGCGTGCTGACCATTTCCCTGCCCGTGCCGGTCATTGTCTCCAACTTCAGCTACTTTTACCACCGGGAGACAGAGGGCGAAGAGGCCGGGATGTACAGCCATGTGGACACGCAGCCCTGTGGCCCACTGGAGGGCAAGGTCAATGGGGGGTTGGTGGACGGAGAGATGCCTGAGCTACCACCTCCACTCTGGGCCCTCCCTGGGAAACACATGGTCACCGAAGTGTGAGGGACCTCACGTTTCCTTGGAGGGATGGAGGGCGGGGTAGGAGGGAAGGCTAGGGGGAGGGGGTTGGGTATAGAAAGAACTAGGTTAAGTGGTAACGAGTTGGGGAACACTGAGTCTTGTTGGGTCTTGAGTTGTGGCTTGGTAGCTCCTATGGGTACCTCCTTAAGGGACAGTGAACGGCAATGAGTCATGCTGAGTCGATGCAGAGACTCCATTGGTTTATATTGCTTGGGGTTGTACAAGACTTATGGAGCCTTTGTGGTTAAGTGTTGAGATAGATTTGATCACATAGTTGTGTGTTTTAGGTCCTCGTTGGGTTGGGCTGTGTTGTTGAGTCTAGAGGAGTCTTGTCCAACTGCACCGTGCGGGATTCTGTGGTTTCAGGAGTCCCCTGGGGCCATTTTGGATCAAGTTAGGTGGTCACCCACAGCATTGTTGTGACTGATGGCGTGTTCATGCATGGTGTTGTGGAGCTGAGTTGAGACACGCTGGAAGTTGTGCGGCTTTGTGATTCTTGTAGGGCTGTGTTATTTTAGATTCTGTGAACTTGTGAGTCATGTAGAAATCCGAAGAGTCAAGTGGTAGAATGTGAGCTTTCTAGGTCACATTAGGTTAAGTTGGGTTGGAATGTATGAGCGTATGAGCCTTTCAGGGCTCTGTTGGGTTGAATTGTGTAGAGTTATGTAGCTGGATGTTTGGGGGGCTACGTGGAGATGAACCATATTGAATCGTACAACCTCGTGAGTCTTGTACGGCTGTGTGGAGTGGAGTTACACCAAGTTGTGTCGTTGTGAGTCCTGTAGGAATGTTAGGTTGAGTTGGACTGCGTGTATGGGCTCCATAGGGCCATGTTGGTTTGTTCTGCACTTAGTGGTAGCACCGGGACCCAAGAATAACAGCACTGGGGGGAATCATGTATCAGGAAGCAAGTGTGGTGTTGTGGACTCTGAGACACAAACTGAACTGACTTGCCTGGTGTCACTTACTAGAAGGGGCAGGGCTGGGTTCTGGACCCATCGATTCAGTTGTTCACGCAGAGGGCGTCTGGGGGAGCTAGGAAGATGTAGATGCTCCTTCCTTTTACCCCACACCTGCTTCGTTTTGCCATTCAGACCCTCTCGAGCTGTCCTCCGGTACAGCTTTGCTTCCAAACATGGATATCGGAGCCACAAGGGAAGAGAAAAGGGGACAAATTGTATGTACTCTGTATAGGCATGTTAGGGGGACAGAAACCCAAATGAGGGGACAGAGACCTAGGTAGTAATGGAAACTCAGAGAAAGAGATAGAAACCCAGAGAAGAGGGGGCGCCTGGGTGGCTTAGTCGGTTAAGCGTCCGACTTTCGCTTAGGTCATGATCTCGCGGTTCGTGGGTTCGAGCCCCGTGTCGGGCTCTGGGCTGACTGCCAGCTCAGAGCCTGGAGCCTGATTTCAGTCTGTGTCTCCCTCTCCCTCTGACCCTCCCCTGCTCATGCTGTCTCTCTCTCTCTCCTAGAAATAAATAAAACATTAGAAAAAAAAAAAGAAACCCAGAGAAGAGGAAACAAAGACCCAAAGAGAGAAGAAGCGAGATTTAGAGAGAAGGAGACAAAGACCCAGAGAGAGGGAGAGAAAAGAGACTCAGAGGAAGGGGGACAGAAAATCCAAAGAGCAAGGGAGATAGAGGCCAGGAGTGGGAGACAGAGATGGGGGGAAGTGTCAGGCACCCAGAGAAGGGCAGACACCAGACTTAGAGACAGACTGGAGTGACCCAGAGAAAGAAAACCAAGAAAGAAAAGTCAGCATCTCTGAACCCAAGAATATACGCAGTCTGTCTTCCATGGAATCACAGAGATCCCAAATCAGGGAGCATCACCCTGTCCTCCCACAGCTCAGAAAGGCTGCCAGACAGACGGGGGGTGGGGGGGCCACTCTAGTTTCCAGGGGAGAAGCCAGAGCCGTAGAGCATGGGGGTGGCTTCCCGAGGTCTCGTGGCACGTCCCCAGGGTGCCCGACCCCACGTGCCCCGTCACCCTGCTGGTAGGGCACGGGTCCTCATTGGATCCTAGAGCCTCATTTCTTACAAACACAGTACCTGAGGCTCAGAGGAGAGGGTGTTACCCAAAGTCATGAACCCAAACATTTTCAGAGGACTTTCAGTACTCAAAGGGCATTTGGAAGAAGACGACACAGGATACCTCAATCGCTAACACGTATAGGGTTCCTATGTGCCAAGCATCATTCAAAGTACTTTACTTGTATTAATTTATTAAAACCAGTGGTTTACAGACTGCTGTTGTTGTTATGTTTAGCTATTGCTGCCCCTTCCCTCCACCCGCCTTTTTTTTTTCTCAAATGAAATGTTACTCAGTTGCAACTTACTCAGAGGCCCTGTGAGGCATCAGAGGGGGTCTGGTCGGAGGGACACTCTCCTCAATGGAGTCCCTCTTGGCAACTTGGAATGCAGCTAAGGTATTCAGCTTGCGGGGGGCGCCTGGGTGGCTCAGTCTGTTGAGCGTCAAACTCTGGATTTCGGCTCAGGTCATGATTCAGGGTGGTGGGATCCAGCCCCGAGCCGGGCTCCAGGCTGAGCGAGGAGCCTGCTTAAGATTCTCTCTCTTTTCCTTCCTCTGTCCCCCTCCCCTGCACACGTGCTCCATACAGAGCAATGGAAGAAAATACAGATTATCGTGGGAGGAGTTTGACAAAGGCAGAAAATAATCGAACGTTTAGGTAGTTGCTTCTCTCTGAGATGGGAGGGAAAGACACATTTGGAGACAGAATTGGAGGACAGACCCCCTCACGGGGACCCAGCACAGAGACTCAGCACAGAGACCCTAAGAGGAGGAAGCCCATGCAGGGAGGAGCCAAGACCTGGAGAGAGGACACCCACGGGGAGGAGGGAGAGCAGGAGCGAGGAGGGCAGTGATCTGGGAGGGGATCAGAGACTGGTGTGGTGGAGGGGGGGTTGGACGGGGCTCCACAGAAGCTGGGAAGGCAACCAAGGAGGAGGGGACAGATATCCAGAGGGAGGCGCACAGAGACGGTTTTACTTTTCTTTGAAAACTGACCTGTATTACTCCATCAGAGGCTGGAAGGTACCTAGAGCCTCTTTGGTAGGGGGTAGAATGTATTGGGTGCTTAAGGAAAAGGTGGGGAAGCGTGGAGAGGTCATGGAGGTGACCCAAGGGGACACTGGAAGAGCCCCTCCCCCACCCTCAATAAACAACTGTAGCCGCCTTCTATGTTGCCTTGGCTGGGATGGGGAAAAGGAGGGGAACACCCTAATCCGGGGACACCCTTCCTGCCACCTTGCCATGTTATATTTAGGCTGAGGGAGGGGTATGGGATGACCCCCCCAGATGAGTATCAGCTTTCCTCCTGAAATAGCTCCTGGGGAGAGGTGAAGGGCTCTGCTGGTCCTAGGACGGCTTCTGACTTCAGTCTGTCTTAGGGCCTCTCTTCTCCATGGGTCTCCATTCCCCCTTCTGGGCTTCTGTCCCCTTCTCTCTCTGGGTCTTCTCTCTCTGGGCTTCTGTCCTCCCCGCCCCCCCTTCTCTGTGTTTATGTGCCTCTCCCCTGTCTCCCTTTGTCACTATTCATTTTCTTTCTCTGAGCAGGTCATCCTGTTTCCAAATCATCGTACCCTTGTCTGGCTCCGTGCCCTAGAATACCTTGAGTTTCTCCTCTCTTGAGCCCGGGACAGACCCTCGACCCAGTCCCCACCCAGGAAATTCCAGCAGACAAGACTGTGGGAGAGCCCCCCCCCCCCCATCCACCGTCTCCCTGGGCCTCGGGCCTTATCGCTGCCCAAGTCCAGCTGGTTAATGTCTGGCCTAGAGCTCCTGGGAAAGTGGGGATGAGAGCCGAGGGCGGGAATCTGCCCAGGGATTGACACTTCATTGGCAAAACAACGCAAGGGAATCTCAGGCCCAGACTCCTGGCTCTAAGCAAGGAGGGAGCTGCTGGTCCGGAGTCTTGGGTCTGAGGAGGGAGGGGGCTGGGGGTCAGGACTCCTGGGTCTGAGGGAGGAGGGACGAGGGGTCCGGGCTCCTGGGTCTCAGGGAGGAGGGGCTGGGGACCCGAATCCTGAGTCTGAGAGAGGAGGGGGCTGGGGGTCAGGGCTCCTGGGTCTGAGGGAGGAGGGGGCTGAGGGTCCCGGCTGCTGGGACCGGGGGAGAAGGGGGCTGGCGCCTGGCCTCCCGGGGCCAAGGCGGGCCAAGAGCCGAGCGAGCCAGGCCGGGCTTCCGAGGTCTCGGCACGCGTGTGGAGGGCGGGATCCCCCGGCCCCTCCTCCGCCGTCGGGCGCCGCCCCGCCCCCGCCCCCGCCCGCGCCCTGCGGAGAGTGTGCAGCGCGGAGCCGGCGGGCGAGCGGGCGTCCCTGCAGCCAGCGAGCGGGAGGAGGAGCCGCGCCGCGCCAGGGGCAGCCGAGGAGCCGGAGAGGGCGCCCCAGGTAAGAGCCTCCGCGCCTCCTCCCGCGGGATTCCGGCGTCCAGGTCGCCCTGCCCCCGGGTAGGGAGGGACGGGGGCGGGGCCTGCGGGGGCGGGGCTTGGCGGAGGAAACTGAGGCAGGAGGGAAGTGCTGCAGCTCTGCAGCGGGTTCCCCCCGTCGGGGTCTCAGGAGACTGGACCCCCCCCCCACCCCCGCCTCCCAGCCTAAATCTTTGGGAGGCGGGGCCCGGGAGTACGTACTTTTGGGTACCTGGGGAGGAGGGTCCTAAACTTCAGAACTCAGGGCTCCAGGGTCCGAGGGAGGAGGGCGCTGGGGGTCTGGACTCCTCGGTCTGAGGGAGGAGGGCGCGGGGCGCCTGGACTCCCGCATGGGAGGGAGGGAGCTGGGGATCTGGGCTCAGGAAAGAGGAGGCAGCTGGGAAGCAGGGCTCTTGGGTCTGAGGGAGGTGGGAGCTGGGAACCGGGACTTCTGGTCTGAGGGAGGAGGTAGCTAGGGATCTACACTCCCGGTCCGGGTTGGATCAGCGCGGTTGCGTCCCTTCACACCCCTTTTTCCATTTCCCCATCTCCGAGCCAAGGCAGGCAGCCACTCCAGGTATGTGCAATAGAAGTCTTGGACAGGTCCTGGCCTGTCCCGTGAGGATAGAACATTCCAGGAAGCAGCCTCAGGGACCCAAGGCTCTTCTTGAGTGTGGGCCCTCAGGGACCCGGGTGTCCAGACCGGCACCGCCCCCGCCCTGTCTGGGAGATGAATGGCCCGTGGAGGATGTAATCTTTTCCAGCCTCCTCTACCCCTCCCGTCCCTCCCCAACCCCCCTCCTCTCCCCTCCCCACACCTCCCCCATCTGCTTCCCATCCCAGCCAGGAGCCATCACCTGGTCAGGGAAGGGGCCTCTGGGAAGGGGGCGCCGCCTTGATTCTTGGGTCCCCTACACTTTAAGAGGAACACAGGGAAGGGGAGTGTTCGCGTCCCCCCCCCCCACTTGCCCATATAACTTGCCCGTTCCCTTCTTCCCCTAGGCGGCTGCCCCGACCCTCTCCTGAGATGTCAGGAAGGAGGGCACCACCCATGTCCGCCACTGGGGCCCCCCAGAGCCTGGGGGCCCCCAGCCCTGGAGCCTGGAGGTGGAGGAGGTGCTGACAGGTCTGGTAACCACCTGCTTCTTCCCAGTTCCCTCCACACCACTCCTTCCCAGAACCAAAGACTTCCAGAATATTGCAGACAAACTGTAGTATCCATGCCCTCACCAGAATCTCCCAGGCCCTGGCCAATTTCTTGGACAGGGAAACTGAGGCCCCACATAACAGGAAATGTCTTGCCTTCTCAGTGGCAATTTTGAGCCGAACTTGGGTCTTGCTAGGGCTCCATAACGTGGCCCTTCTCAGAATTTTGGGACCTCAAGCCTCCTCTAGGCTGCAGGACTCAGGGCTCTTCAGGGTTGTAGAGGTAGGAGGCGGAACGGAGTCGCTCCCATGGGGCTCAAGTCCTCCTTACGGTATTTGTGGGCTGTGTGACCTGGTATAAGTCACTCACCTCTCTGAGCCTGTATTTCTCCATTTGTTGGTTTGGTGGCTATTATTAGCAATAGCAGTAGAATAATTGTGACTAATCGGGAAGTTGGGCATTACCTAAGTCCTAGAAAATAAGGCCCCTCTCCTAAGATTCTAGAACAAGGGCCTCCCCAGTGGTTTGGCATTCAGTTCCCTCTGGAGTTCCCAACTTCCGTCCCCCTCATCCCCCCCCCCCAAGTTTTTACCCTCGTCTCTAACGCAGGTCTCCCTTCCGTCTTCAGGTGCTCAGCGAGATGCCCCCCAGCCCCTCCCGCTCCCTCCCCTTCCTCCTTCTTTTCCTCCTCCCCAGTGCACCAATGGAGCCCCACCCCCCACCCGTACCGCTGCCCCCATTTCTAGCCCCTGAGTGGGATCTCCTGTCCCCCAGAGTAGTCCTGTCCAGGGGCACCCCCGCCGGGCCCCCTCTGCTCTTCCTGCTGGAGGCCGGGGCTTTTGGGGAGCCAGCTGGCCGCCCCGCCAACCGCAGCCGGCGAGGGGCGAGTGAGACAGCACCAGCGAGTCGCCGGGGAGAGCTGGCTGTGTGTGATGCAGTCAGTGGCTGGGTGACAGACCGCCGGACGGCCGTGGACCTGCGTGGGCGTGAGGTGGAGGTGCTGGGCGAGGTTCCTGCGGCTGGCGGCAGTCCCCTCCGCCAGTACTTCTTTGAGACCCGCTGCAAGGCCGACAGCACTGAGGAAGGTGGCCCTGGTGGGGGAGGAGGGGGCTGCCGGGGTGTGGACCGGAGGCACTGGGTATCCGAGTGTAAAGCCAAGCAGTCCTACGTGCGGGCATTGACCGCTGATGCCCAGGGCCGCGTAGGCTGGCGATGGATTCGAATTGACACCGCCTGCGTCTGCACGCTCCTCAGCCGGACTGGCCGGGCCTGAGGCCCATGCCCAGGAACCAGGCAGGCAGAGGAAGAAGACCGCTGGATGCCGAGGGACCTCAGGGGTGGCCTGGCTGCTCTGGGCCTCGGTTTGGGAACTTGTGAAATGGTCACAAAGTCACAGCTTTCTGATTTTGAGAGCTCAATCCATGCAAGACAGGTGGTGAAACCAAGTGGGGTTTTGAAGGACGAATAGGAGTTCTCCTGGATGAACTTGAGGGTAACGATGATAATAATAGCCCAAGTTTTCTGAGTGTCTACTGTTTATCAGCGTTAATACACAATTTGTCAAATCAACTCAAGTGGATTTGACCATCGGAGGCCCTTGGGTTCCCAATTGCTAACCACTTGATCTCAGAGGACATCTTGCACACCCTGGAGAGAGTGACAAGAAAGTGATCTGTCGAGAAGTGGGTGGGGGAGTGTAAAAACTGGAACACATAAGCAACTAGCTGGGAGCCCGGGTTTGAATGAGAAATCTTACTTGGTCAGACTTGTTGGCTTTGAGTGTTCCATTTTGAGGTAGTGAGCCACCCATTAGAGTAGAGCAAAAACAAGGTTGACTGATCGGACGTCAGGAGGCTAGAGACTTTGGCCCTGGTGGGGAGTTGGAGTCTACTCCCTTTCCTGTCCCAACGTGTACCCATATCGGGAAAGAGATAGACCTTAGAATCGTCCAGCTTGAGTATGGCATGAAGTTCTGACCAATTGCCCTGACTCCCGGCTAGAATCTGGGGTCATGTGGACAGTGATAGGCTGTGAGTGGGCCAGGAAAATCCAAAAGGAGAAGTGGCCCCAGAGCCCTGAATGACGGGGTCAGTGGGACCCTGTGCCAGGCTGCAGAAGGTAGCCTCAGTTTTCCCCATCTGAAGAATGGGTCAGTGGGGTTGACATGATGGGAGCCGAGGAGGCAGAGGCCTTGATGAAGTGGCCTTTAAAGTGAGGAAGGGGGGGCGCCTGGGTGGCTTAGTCGGTTAAGCGTCCGACTTTCGCTTAGGTCATGATCTCGCGGTTCATGGGTTCGGGCCCCGCGTCGGGCTCTGTGCTGACTGCCAGCTCAGAGCCTGGAGCCTGTTTCAGTCTGTGACTCCCTCTCTCTCTGACCCTCCCCTGCTCACGCTGTCTCTCTCTCTCTCTCCTAGAAATAAATAAAAATTAAAAAAAAAATTAAAAAAAAAATAAAGTGAGGAAGGGACAAGAGAAGTCAGGGGTAGACCCCACACCTTCAGGATAACCCTTCATATGTCACCAGTTCATACCCTACACACACACACACACACACACACACACACACAAATTCTTTTAGGACCAGCTTTGGTCTAAGGATGTAGACATCCCCATCCCTCACCCACATGGACTGGGCCCCTGGGAAGAGTAGGGGTGGCGGGGGGCCAGGCAGGGTCTGGCTGCCGCTGTTTCGACATCTCTGTGTTTCTAGATCTGTGGTTCCCCACCCTCTCTTTTGCCACCTCCCTCTCTCTCTCCGTCTTCCTGTCTCTTGTGTCAGTAGCTCTTTACCTCTGTTTCTCATTCACTGCCTCTCCCCCATTCTTGAATGTATTTCTTTCTCTTCAAAGCTCTCCCCACATCCCCTCCCCTCTCTTTTTTTGCTAAGTATTTCCCTGTGTATTTGTCTGTGGGTCTCTCCGTCTTCACCCACCCCCATATCCAGGTGGAAGTTTTCAACCAAATCAAAGGCAGGCAGGACGCACGAAGCCAAAGCCGGGGCTGACTCCTTCAGCGGACTCCAGGAGGGAGGGAGGGAGGGAGGGAGAGCCCTGGGGAAGTCTGGAAATCGTTACCCCCGATGTAGGCAGGCCTGGCAGAGGGAGGAGGGGGCTGAGAGAGCTGGGACCCTGTAGGAAAGGGGGGGTATTTCTCATGGGTTCCCTGATGCGGTGGGTGGTCTTTATCTCCCCCCAACCCCGGGTCTCTGTGTCTCTAAAATTCTCTAAAACTCAGAGCTTCTATTTCCCCTTCCTCTCCGCCCCCTTTTCTGGCAGTCCCTCTCTCTCTGGGACTCCCCTCCTCCATTACTCTTGTGTTTCTGTGCCCCTTCTCTCAAAAGTCCCTGTCACTCTGTGCCTGGGCCTCTTTCTCATTCAGTCCAACCAGCCACACACCTGCAGGCCTTCCATTGGCTGGGTTCAGGGTGGGCGGGTTCTATCACCTGGGGCAACAGCTGACAACAAGCCTGCTCCGCTGGGCTACCCCCCGGGGGTGGGACCATGGCTGGGCCCACCCTAGCTCGGAGCGGGCCGGAGGTGCCTGGTTGCCGGCCCAACTGGCATCTCACCAGCAGTGGTGTCGCCCACCACATTATCCCACCTGTTCCCTTTCCCCCGCCCACTGTGCAGGTAAGAGGACCCTAGGTTCCTGACCAGAGGAGACTGGGGATCCAAACACCTGCTGAGAGACAAGGGGCTTGGGGGCTTGGAGTTCTCTCTGACTGAAGGAGGAGGGTCCCGGAGTCCAGGGTCTGAGAGAGGAGGGGCCAGCGAACCGTGGATGCCTAGAACTGGAGGGAGGAAAGGGTTGAGGACCGACTGGGAGAGATCAGGACCCTCCGGCCAGAGTTGAATCCTTTGAGCTGACGTCCTTTCTCCCCAGTCCACGGTCGCGGAGCCCCTGCCCCCGGCCGCAAAGCAGGGTTTGCACATCTGGGATTTTGACGAGGTCATCAGCAGATGGGAGACCACCTCTGGCTCGGCTTCCGTGCCTAAGACCCACGGCGGGCCCTACGCACAGCCCAGGGCCCCAGAGCCTTCGGACCCCACGCGGACTTTGGGGATCAAGGATTTAGGAGAAAAGGTGAGGTTGTGGGATGCAGAGGTCCGCCGAGGACAGGGTCGGGGATCGCGCTGAGCACCAGGCACCCTCACGTTGAATCCCCGCGTCGCCTTCCCGCAGCTCAGAAGCCGTGGCTGGCGCCTCCCGCGGATCACAGAGCACCAGTGCAGTGAGACGAGGGCGCAGTACACCGGCCAGCCCGGCCTGGACCTGCGCCCCACCTTCCACGTCGGGCCCCAGCCCCTGGAGCTTGCGGACCACCACCGCGGAGGCCCTTCTCAGGTAGCGGAGAAGACCGCTGCCACCTTAGGACAAAGCTTGTAGCGCCTGAGGCGGGGCCGGAGGGGCTCTGAACTTGGGACCAGACTAGGAGACCCTGGGGCGGGGAACTCCGAGTCGGGGGTCGGGGTTAAACGGGCTGGAATGGAATCAGGTTACAGAGCCTGGGGGTGGAGCTTGGACTTTTTGAGGTGGGGCCAGAAGGAGGAGGGGACTGGAGACCAAAATCCCAGCTCTGAGGCTGGGGCCACGATTAGTAAATCTCGGGGCGGGGCTGGGAGGGGGTTCTGAGGAGGGGGTCGGGACCAGGTAGCGGAAGGTACGTGGCGGGCGGGCCTTGAATATTCTGAGACCAAATCGGGTCGGAAGGCGGGGCTAGGCTTCCGTGGAGAGGATGAAGTAAAAAGGTACGTTTGTCCAAATAGCGGCTGAATTCCAGGGGCGGGACGTGGAAGTTGAGTCTGGGGGCGGAGCTGGGAAAGTTTTTTGTGGCTGGAGGGCTGGGCTTTGTGATCAACGACCGGTGTTCAGATTTTGGAGTAACCCTAATAAGGGCTCTGATTTGGGGGAGAGAAGATAAAGTGCCCTGGCTTGCGATTGCTCGGGGAGGATTCGGATTCATCCAAAGAAGAGGGATCCTGAGCCTGGGACCCCGGGCTTGGGATGGATATGAAGCCTTGCTCCATCCCTCCTCCCCCCGATCCTCCTCAGGCTTTAATCCCCTGGACAAAGAACCCCGAGCTGTCCGGCCAGCCTTTCACAGTATCTGACCAGGGCGTCCTGGACCGCCATCAGCTCTATCTGACCACCTCGGCCAAGGACTTCCGGGCCTACCCTAAGTGAGTCTGGGTCCCCTCTCGGCACCGCCGCCAACACACCTAACCCCGGTGTCGGCTCCGCCTGTCCGACTCAGTAGCCTCCAGCCTTCAGCTCCTGAACCAGAAAAGCTTAGACCCCAGCTCCTACCTCTTTTAGCGCCCAAGTATTCTTAGTGTCAATCAACTCTTAGGAATATGAAACCTGCGGCTTGTCCTAGAAGGGGTTCTGGACTGAGGGCGGGGCTCCAAGGGTCTAGGGAGGGGCCTACTTTGGTTCCCAGATACTCTTTCCCAAGGATTCGAAAATTCTATATTTCCGGCCCTTAAGGACCCTCGAGGGCCCAGGAATTGAGGTTAGGCGTCCTCAACCCCCATCCTTCCCAAGGGATCCCCGGCTCCTACAAATATATCCTTGCCTCGAAACGCAGGAGTTCAGATCTACAGGTTCCTCAGGAGCCAAGGTCTGAACTTCAGCCTTGTCCCTAGGATCTAACCGTGCCTTCCCACTCCTGCCTTCCCCACCAACAGGAAGGAGTTGTCTGGATATCCCCGCAAGGACTCGCTGACCTACTGGAGCTTTCAGAAGACGCCTCGGGTCTGGGGCCAGGACCCACAGCGGCCGCCCTGTCCGCGCTCCTCTCGGCCGCCAGGGATCCGCGTGCCCCACGTCCACCCGGCGACGCTAGCCGTGCCGCACCGTGGGGCGTTGTCTCTGGCTCACGAGTCCTACAGACGCCCGCTGCACCCACTCCTCCGGCTCGACCGTTTCTGCCCGCTGGAGCTGCCCTGGGGCGGCCCCCACCGGAAGCCGGTGCCGGGCATCTACAGCGTGCCACGAGCCTACCGCACGGAGAACTCCAGCTACGGCAGCTTGAAGCCACGCCCAATCTGAGCCGGCTGCGCCAGCCCCGCCCAGAACACGCCCCCGGGCGGGGCCGGAGCCGAGCCTGGAAGACCGCGGCCGGGGGCACACTGGGCGGGGCTAAGGCCGGGAAACCCGCCTATCACGCCAGGATCCGCCCACCAGGCGTGAGCGGGACGGATCCCACACCGGACTAAGGAGGGTGACCGGGTCCGGGACGAAGATGGGTGCTGAGGCTGGAAAATATACTTTGGGGCGGTGTGCTCACGGGCGGGACACGCCCTCTGCGACAGAGGGGGCAGAGTTTACCTTAGTCAATGACAGAGTTAAAATAGTCTTTAACTGTGGTCATCGTGCTCATCGCTGGGTTCAGCTCTGGGGGCCCGAGTGTGCGGGAGATGGGTCTCCTGCTGAATCCCTGGTGGAAGGAAGCCAAGTCTGCCTACAGGTGGGACCCCGCCTCTGAGCCCAGAATCCAGAAATGAAGCCACGCCCCCTGAGGTTAGACTGTGGCACAGGAATGGCTTTCGCCTGTGGCAGATGGAGTGGGGTTGAGGTCTGAGCCGATCACCATTGGACGAGGGTCCTTGGAGGGACGAGCTCCAGCCTTCCCCAGGCGCCCACCATGATGGGCGGAAGCGGGGCTACACCATCGAGAACTAGGTCAGGGGGTCCCCATAGCCTACTTCCTATGTATGACCCAACAGGACTTCGCTGGCACCTGATAGCACCTGACGATTGAGTCAGTGAAGTCAGCTTCACCTTGGGCGCACCAAGGAGCGGGAGCCACTCAGGGAGTGGGGGTAGGGGCCTCTCCCGCACACTTCCCTGACCTTTTCCGCTTCTCGCCCCCAGAAGGATTAGTGTCCAGGTTACCCCATCAGGCCGCCACCCCCAGTGGCCTTGCCGCCCCCACACCCTGCAAGTATAAGACCAGGTAAACATCACTGGGGAGGCACGGAGAATGGAGACGCTCCAGGTAAGACTGTGGGGTCCCCTAGGCACTTTGCAACTCCATCCAGGCCACAGCTGCCACAAAGAGGGAGAGTCCTGTGACCTGATGGAGGAGGCTTCCTTCTAGAAGGGTGAGGACGGCCAGCGGGCTTCCTGCCAGGAAGGAAATAGGTGGAGCAGGGCCTGAGGGTGGGAATTCTCAGAATCTGGGGTTCCTGAGTCTCGGAAAAAGGGATCCAAGTGGAACGAATGCACCCTGGATGGACGCTGTCAGGCACGGGAGCTGGGTCCCCGACTGTGTTCATGGGGGATGGGAAGGTAAGGGCTCCGGGTAGCGGGGTCTGGCAGGCCCTGAGACACTGTCCTCGTCCCAGGGGCTGCTGCTGTGGCTGCTGCTGAATGTGGCTGGGGTGTGGGCATCCAGGGGGCCACTGCGGCCGCTGTGCAGGCCCATCAACGCCACCCTGGCTGCTGAGAACGAGGCCTGCCCGGTCTGCATCACCTTCACCACCACCATCTGTGCCGGCTACTGTCCCAGCATGGTGAGTTGCGGACGGCGGGCGGGGAATGGGTGCTGCCACCCCAGCTCCAGGGCGGATCACTGAAGGCCAGGCCCACAGAAAATGGGAAGTGGCAGCTTGGATGGCAGGGTGGCCTGCGCCCACCTCCCACAGGGGCAGGGGAATTGGGAGTCAGAGCTGGGCATGGGGGAGGGGGGGAGAGCACAGAGGGTCTGCTGGACACCAGAATCTGAGACCTGTGGTGGGGGGGATTAGCTCAGGGGAGGGCCTGACCACGCCCCTCTATCCCTCCCTTTGGCCTCCAGGTGCGCGTGCTGCCCGCCGCCCTGCCCCCAGTGCCCCAGCCCGTGTGCACCTACCGTGAGCTGCGCTTTGCTTCCATCCGGCTGCCCGGATGCCCGCCCGGTGTGGACCCCATGGTCTCTTTCCCCGTGGCCCTCAGCTGTCGCTGTGGGCCCTGCCGCCTCAGCAGCTCCGACTGTGGGGGTCCCAGGGCCCAACCCTTGGCCTGTGACCGCCCCCCACTCCCGGGCCTCCTGTTCCTCTAAGGATCCCCCACCCCAGTGCCTGGAGCCAGCAGACGCTCTTCTCCACCCCTCCCAATAAAGGCTTCTCAAACTGCACTCATGTTGTCTTCTGTCGGGCTTAGGGTATGTGTCCGAGTGTTGACACACACACACACACACACACACACACACACACACACACACACACACACACAGAGGCTCAGGATGGATCCAATATCAGAACCATTTTATACAAAGTCACAGTGTCAGAACTCCAGTAGAAAACGGGGGGGGGGGAGGGGACGAGGGTCACATCAGCTCAGGAGGTGTCCATGGTTTCGCCTTCTGTGGGGAGAAGGAAGGCCATGCGGTCAGCGTGGCCCAGGCGGCCGGGCCTGAGCTCTCTGGGGCGGCAGGCGACCCGGGGGGACAGGTGCAGGTGCAGCAGGGGACACTCACTGAGCTCGTTGAAGAGAAAGGCGTCCTGGTACTCCTTCATGTACTGCGTGGAGCGCGACTCGTCCAGAAAGAGCGAGTAGACTCGTTTGATGTCATCTACCTGGACTTCTGTGCCCTGAGAAGGGATGGCAAGATCTCAGTGCCCCCCCCCCCACCCCTCTGCCACCGGGTGGTAGATCAGGGTGGGGACACCGGGGCCAGGCTGCCTGGGTTAGCACGCATCCCTCCTCGGCCACCTCCCAGCTGTGGGCCCAACCCCTCCAGTCCCAACCCCTCTGTTTTTTCATCTGTAAAATGAACTGAACAGCATTAACCTCTAGTTGCCAGACATTTACTAAGCACGTCCTATGTGTCAGGCCAGGAGATACAGGTATAAACCCGACAGACCCAAGTCCCCTGCCTTTAATAAAGGACTCAATGCAACGACCCGCTCAAAGCGGTCGGAGCAGTGAGTGGGCCGCTTGCTGGCTCAGGCCGGACCCCCCGTGTGCTTCCTTGGCTGGCTGACCTTGCGTTTCCGGCACACCAGGCTGGCGGCCGTGATGAGCTGGATGGCGTAGCGCAGCGACGTCTCCAGCCCGATGCGGGTCAGCACTGTGTAGGCGTCCTCACTCATCTCTACGTCTTCCTCCTCACACCTGTGGGCCGGCAGGGTGGCGGCGGGGGTGAGCCAGGGCTCAGGGGCGCTGATGGCAGTGAAGCCCCGGCCCTGGGCTGGCCCTCCCCGCCTGGGGACCCCCTCCCTGAATGGACGTCCTGGGGGACATGGGGGCCCTATGTCCCCGGAACCGCAGAATGCTGGGCAAGAAGGGCCTCTGAAGCTTGGGCCTGTAACCTTGGCCTCCAGGCCCTCCCGAGCCAGGTCCTCTCCCCAGTGTCAGCCACTGGCCGGGGCCCTCCCTTCTCTGCTGTGGCCCCCACCCCCGGATCAGAGGCCACTGCCTGGATGCCGGGCCCAGCCCAGCTCGGTCACTTACGGGCCCAGAGGCCTCCCTTCCTTAGACCTCGCTGACCCCACTTGCCAAACAGGGTGGCCGCCGGCCCTGCCGCTCGGGCCCACGATCCGGTCCCGCCCCAGGACGCCAGGCAGCCCTGCTCATACCGGATGCGGAGGATCTGCTTCGTGTCCTTCTCACTGTAGGGCGAGGTGGAGACGATGAGCAGTCGGTCCAGGAGGTCGATAGGGATGCCGTGGGGGCTCTGGTAACTGGTACCCCGGATCCTGGGGAGGAGGGGGAAGGGAGGGCCGTCAGGATTGATGCTCCCGGTGCGCCGCTACCTCTGCATGGACTACTCCGCCCACCCCCTCCCCCACAGCCCACTCACCGGGCAAACACCACTTAACCTTCAGCTCATGGCTGCCGTCACCACCCACCACGCAGCCGTCCCCCAACTGCGTCACTGTCCCTGCGGAGCCGGGGTGGTTTTAGCTAGGTGTCTCTGTCCGGGATTACTGGCTCAAGGTCCTGCTCCCCTGCTTGACGCAGCACTCCGTAGGGGAGACACCGCACCGGCCCTGTCCCTGCGCACCTGGCCCGGCACAAGCCAGCACCCAGCAGGGGCCAGGGAATGGAGCGGGGGCCTCGTTATTCGTGACCATTCCATCCTACAAGGTGGGGCAAACACTCACTAGCAAATGACGAATAGCTGCTTCTAGGGGAAATCCGTCAGGTTCTTGTGAGCCTCGGGTCCCAGCATTTCGTGAACCAACACATAACCTGGTTCTATGTGTTCCCGTGTTTTTTTAATTAAAAAAAATTTTTAATGTTTATTTATTTTTAATAGAGAGTGAGACAGAGTGCAAGGCGGGGGGGCAGAGAGAGGAGACACAGAATCTGAAACAGGCTCTAGGCTCTAAGGTGTCAGCACAGAGCCTGACGTGGGGCTCGAACCCACAAAACGTGTGATCATGACCTGAGCTGAAGTCAGACGCTTAACCGACTGAGGCACCCAGGCATCCCATAAATTTTTTAAAAGTTTTTACTTATTTATTTTTGAGAGAGTGTGCATGTAAGCAGGAGAGAGGCAGAGAGAGGGGGGGACAGAGGATCTGAAGCGGGCTCTATGCAGACAGTAAGCCCAATGTGGGCCTCAAAATCATGAACTGTGAGATCATGATCTGAGCGGAAGGCAGACACTTAACCTACTGAGCCCCAAATAAGACGTCTTTAATTAGGAATGCAGGCGTGTCTGGGTGGCTCAGTCAGTTAAGTGTCTGACTCTTGGTCTCGGCTCAGGTAATGATCTCACGGTTCACGTGTTCGAGCCTCGCGTCTGGCTCTGTGCTGACAGTGCAGAGCCTAGAGCCTGCTTCGAATTCTCTGCCTTCCTCTGTCTCTGTCCCTTCCTTGTTCGTGCTCTCTCTCAAAAATAAACAAACATTAAAAATAAACTAATAAACTAATAGAACTCTTATTTAACACACATTACTGACTCTCTCACACTGAACTGATGGCTGACGGCGTTCTACATCACACCCAAAGGAGGCTCACCTAACACACACACTTTCTCTGTAAGGCACATCCCAGCCTTCCTGTGTTTAGGGACACTGGACAGCCAGGGGTCCTTTTAAACATGCAGTCCCTAGGGTGCCTGGGTGGTTCAGTCGGTTAAACATCCAATGCTTGATTTCAGCTTGGGTCATTATCTCATGGTCTCTGGATTCATGAGTTCGAGCCCCGTGTCCGGCTCTGTGCTGATACTGAGAAGCCTCCTTGGGATTCTCTGTCTCTCTCTCTCTCTGCCCCTGCCCCACTCACTCTCTAAAGTAAATAAACTTAAAATAAACATACCATCACCAACCAAAAGCATAAAGTGCGACAAATGTGGCAATAAACAGATCGCGCAAAGGACGCGCATTTACAGCATGCAAGCTGAAACTAGATGGCAGAGTGTCACCTTGTTGGACCTTGGTCTGGGGTGTCCACGTCAGGGGACTCAAAGTTTTTGCCCCTCTGCGCATGTCCACACAGGAGCACAAAAGTGCCATGAATCTGGGTTACAAATAAATTTTAGTGAGACTACGCAGACTCACAAAAACGTCACGTGCAAATAACGAGGAGAGAGTGGGTTTGCTGCCCATCCCGGGAGGCGCCCCGGGCAGACAAGGTAGAGAGGATGGCAGCAGGCGAGGAGGCACCGGCAACGCCCTAGGGCAGAGGTTCCCAAGCTTTACCAGAACCTGGGGACCTTCGGGTCTCCAGAATTTTCCCGTGGCATCCTCAGGCCAAAAGAAACGTGAAGTTCTGTCCAATTACGTGGTTTGGTCGAAGTGACTTAATGGGAGTGATTTACGCAGTGTCCAACACAGGTCACCGTGCTTGCCTCACACACTTTAAAACACCCCGCAGCACTTGCAAGTTTTCTGCAGCACCCAGGGATACCTCGGCGCACAGTTTGGGAACCGCAGCCTCAAGCATTATGAAAACGGACAGAAAGAACATGGTTCCTCAACTTCCTCGTGGAGCAGAGATGCCTGCCTACCTTGTTTAAGGTCCTAGTGAGGAGACCAACAAACATGGCCTGTTCGCCCTGTGGCTCTCCCCACCGCCAGGAACACCCCGTTTCCCAGGGGGCCCGTGACGGGGCTCACCGGGTAATGCCTCGGTTGGTGGCCATGATAAGGACCGGCGCCATGTCACTCTCCAGAGCCCGGTTGAGGAAGGAGAAGCTCTCAATGTCCAGCATGTGCACCTCGTCGATGAACAGCACCTGGGAGCCGTTGATGGTCAAACCCACCGCCCGAGCCTCTCTGCTCCCGCCTCCCCACCCTCCCCGAGGACTCACTCCAGGGATGATCTCCGCCTTGCCCTCTTCGCGCCACTCAGCCACCTTGGCATTGATCTGCTCTCGGACTTCTGATTTGATCTCCCCGGTGTCGCCTGCGGGAGGCCGAGCGGCACGCGGAGTGTCACACAGGAGGCGGGGGTCCAGGGCCCGAGGGCAGCCGAAAATAAAGATAGGACACCAGGGACAGAGGGAAGAGGGGCCACGACTGGAGTGGCAAAGTGACAGAAGGGCCGGGAAACGTCCCAGAGAGGAGGAGGGCTGGAGACAGAGCCCAGGACACACGTGTCCCCCACAGGACCCCACCTGAGAAGAGAGCCAGGAAGCCCTGCGTGCGGGAGTTGATGACATCGATCTCATGCAGGGACACGGTGTGCACCACCTCCTTGCGTTTCTGGAGCTCCCCGTCTGGGCACTGCACGAACTTGGTCTGCGGGGCCGGGGGGAGGGGTGGGAGACAAGGGCAGAGAAGAGCATGAAACGGGGGGCCCAAAGGGGCTGTTGGGGGTGGGGGAGACTGGATCCCAGAAACCCCAGGCCTAAGAGGCAGTCCTCGCTAGGGCTTTCGAGAGCGCCGAAGGACGAGGGTCCTGGAGCTCAAGGGCCCTGGCTGCCCCACAGGGTACAGGGAAGAATCACGAGTGCTGGGGACACGTGGCCCACCTGGGAGCCCATGGCGTCATAGTCGCGAGCACGTGTGAAGGAGCGGCCCAGCTTGGAGATCTTGCCCGTGGCCTTGTCGATGGTGATCACGTCCCTGCGCGGCGGAAGGAGGGCGGGAGTGAGAACAGGAAAGGGCCCGAACTACCCTGACCACCCAGCGTGGTCCCCCCAATGCCGCTCACCCGGCCTGGACCTTGTCCTTGGTCAGG